AAGAATCCACGCAAAATAATATAAAATTCGCAATACTATGTTTAATTAAACTAAATACAGATAATATCACCCTCAGAGATGTTTCAGTAAGTTTTTCTCAGACTGGACACCTTCCAGGCCTGGGCACAATTCTTTCCCCTGGTACAGCTCTTGTTGCAGCTCAGGTGGTAGCTAGGGGATTCTTCATGATGGCTTCTCTCCCCCTCTCTTCTCTTCCCCCCTTTATATATCTTTTGCATAAGGCGGGAACTCTTTGTCTCTCTGGGTTTCCACCCCCCCTCACTGGAAAAGCACCAGGTTAAAGATGGATTTCAGTTCAGGTGACATGATCACATGTCACTGCAAGACTTCATTACTCATTTGCCAGCACACACATATACAGGAAGACTCACAGGTAAACACAGCCATCTGCAGACAATGGGAGTCATCAAGATTCCAAACCATCATTAATGGTCCACACTTTACACAATTACAATAGGCCCTCAGAGTTACATTTTATATTTCTAGTTTTAGCTACAAGAGTGGTACATTTATACAAATCAGATGATCATACTCAGTAGATTATAAGCTTTGTAATGATACCTTACAAGAGACCTTTTGCATGAAGCATATCCCAGTTACGTTACATTCACTTATTACCGTATTTTCTCTAAAACCAGCTCAGTTACATTATATTGACTTATTATCAAGTTTTTATAAGACCATATAGACTGCACAACGTCACAATAGTGACACATGAAGAGAAGGGAGTTACCTCACAAATATAGAACCATTTGTGAGATAACTCCCTTCTCTTCATGTGTCACTATATAATGCCTGCATCTGTAATTTTCACTCCATGCATCTGAAGAAGTGAGGATTTTACCCACGAAAGCTTATGCCCAAATAAATCTGTTAGTCTTTAAGGTGCCACCAGATTCCTTGTTGTTCTCTAAAGTGCTCTCCTTCCCATCCCCCCCAGACACTGGATACCCGCACAGAACCCATTTACAAACGGGATGCAGAGAACACTTTAAAAAGACAGTCAAGCTAAAATTCCCATTAAGAAAACAAGATGAACATGCTTGCCAGGATTGTTAACCCCATCTTCATTCTCAAATGGCAATCCTTAGGGGAAACCTCATTTACTTTTGTCTCGTTAACACTGATTGGTTACTTTTGCCATTTTGCCAACCTTGAAGAATGAAAATTGATTGGCCAGTTTCCCTTGTTTGCGCTCGTGCATGAGCCCTTTATGGCAAGGCTGGGTTGCAAATGCTGCAGGGGAAGGGAGCAATCACAACCACATGCTGTTTTCACCGGACTTCCAAAAATATCCCCAAAAAACCAAAACAGAGCAAAATTTTCTCCTGTGCTTGAGTTTTGCAAAATTTTGTTTCTAACCAAAACTAATTTGGGGGTTAAACAGCTCTCAAGGTTCCTGGCAAGTTGATATGGGAACTGCGATGCTACTGTAGCCCTTGAATCCTTCCTGACATTGACCGATGGCATCTTTCCTGCCAGACTCGACTGTAATCCCTGGTGATGCCATCTTTACTTTCTTCACTGCAACACTGCACTCACTGCAAGCAAATGGCTACTTACTGATGAAGTTGGCCTGGCCGGTGAAGATGGTGTACTGGAGCTCATAGGAACTGACACTGAACTCATCCTCCGAGATCCAATGGACTGTAATGGTGTCATGGGAAGCTGTACAAAGCTCCTCTCGGACAGACGGTGGATTGGGTGCTGCATGGGCGACAGATGACAATGTAGATATAAGAAGGGGTTTTTGCATCCACTTGGGTGACACCTCATAATGGAGACAGTCTCTATATGGAGGGAGCACAGCCACTGCACAGAAAAAACAATTCTATGTGTTGTTGAGTGATTGCTGGAGTAAAATGGAGGCTCCTGGAAGGGCTGAGGCAACAGGGACAAGGCTAGGAGACCCATTATTAATGTGGTCACATTGAAGGTTTAGGCCGCTAATTAAAGCCCCGCCTCTGGTTGGCACTGATTTTTTAACAACCTTTTTATCTGATAAATGTTCTGGACACATATGATATTTCTCCTCTTATATTATCTGCTTGGAAATCTGATAGATGGACCTAAAGATCAGCTTGCTTCTCTGGTGCGTTTGTCTCCTCAGTGGCTTTAAGTAGCCTTGTAAAGAAACACAGGTATATCTATACTGCAGTTGGGCAAAGTAATTCCCAGTCCAAGTAGACGTACCCATAATAGCTTGAGCTGAGCTAGCATGCTCAACATAGTAGTGTGGCCATGGCAGCATGGCTATTTTCTGTGTGCTACCTTGAGGCTATGCCCTCTGCAGATACCATACACTACATGGGCAGCTTTTCCCCCACTTTCTTCAAATGTAGAAGAAAACCCGTCAAAAAGGACTGTAGCGCGTCAGGACGGGAGTAGCCCTTCATTGCTATTTACTTGCATTACGGTATACCTTTTATTCTTATGTGTATTACCGTCACACCCAGAGACCCAAATCTGGATCAGAGACCCCATGTGCTAGATGCTGTCTGAACACAAAGGTTGACGTGATCCCCATCCAAAAGAGCTTTCAATTAAGGCCTCAAGACACATACAAAGGGCAGCAAAGAGGAAACACTAAACTATATTACATGTGAAATGTATTACATGTTTTTTTTTTTCAAATGTACTATTGGCTGCTCATTTCCTGTGGGCAGCATGGCAGGAAGTGGGATTTGAAGAAGGAGGTTCCAGGGATTTTTTCAGAGAGGGCATTCCCTGCATTCAGCAAAGCAGCGGACGTCAGCACCACTGGTGGAGCAGAGGAGACGGGAAAGGGGAAGCAGGAGATAGCAGCCAATGTGATGAGAGCAGATATGAAGGGGCAGAACTGTGAAGATGCTTGGAAGTGAAACACTTCAATTGGATGGGGTGGAAATAGGGGAACCATGAGAAGGATTTAAAGTGGGATGGGGTGGTTACATGGTCAGAAGGAAGACGACCATAGCAGCTGACTGGACAGAAGTGATGTGGGTGAAGAGAAGGGTCTGAGGAGAAGGATGCTGTACTCAAGCCAGGGGATGAGAGCGTGACTTAGAGGTTTTGCAGAAAAGGCAGAGAATTGTAACAGATTTCAGAAACAGCCACCCTAAGAACATGCCTGAACACCAAAAGCCCAAGGACTGATGACTGGGCCGCTCCATTACCATGCCAAGTTGCAGCATCAAGAAGCAGTTTAAAAGACTAGAACAACTTACAATGTAGTTGATATTAAAATATTTTCTACTTCATCTGAGAGGACAAAGAAGGTTACAGTGTGTGTTAGGAAAGCAGGATCAGCACACACCTGTTAGATAATCCAGACCCTCCAGCAGTTTCTTTTCTCTGGAAAAATCTAAAGCAAAGTTTTCAAAGGCATCGTTAAAATTGATATCTGGTATCAGCACTTGAGAGGATGCAGTTGCCATGGCGACCCTGAAAGAAAGAAAAGAGCATCAATATACATTAGGGTGTATTTGGACAACCCAGCCGGCAGTTAGATTGATGATTAAAAAGGCGCAAACAGCCTTGCAGTAATGTAACATGCCAGGAGGAAAACCATCACCCAAAGCAGGCTTCTCTGGAGAAGCAAAGCAGCAAGCCCCTGGGGAAGGGCCTGGTGGCTTTGTTTGCTTTTGTTGTTGTTATTAGTGACCGAAGCATCCTCCTTTTGCTCTTTGAAACAATCACAAACATTACGCTGGGCTAGACAGGGCTACCTAAGCGACAGCGCTGCCTGTTCTTCCAAGGAAGAACATGCTCCCATTCACACTTCATGTTCACCTTCTGAATGACTTGCCTCCCATTGTCCCAGCTGGACATTCGTGATTCCAGAGTGAGTGGCACCCCACACCTGATACGATCCCCAGTGAGGATTCTCACAGGCCTTGTCCGCACTAGGACATTTCTGCTAATATTTCCCACTGCTGCATCTCCACTGGTGGCTGCAATGGTGTGATTTAGAGCACCAGCACCCACCAGTGTTTTCAGCACTAAGTTGTGCAGGTCGGCTCTAAACAGGGTTGGATTGGAATACCCAGTAATCTAGGGTTACCATATTTCAACAATCAAAAAAGAGGACGGGAGGAGCCACGCCCTAGCCCCGCCCCCATCCTGCCCTCGCCCCGCCCCTGCCCCTTCCACTCCCTCCCACTTCCCGCCCCCCTCAGAGCTCCCAACCCTCCCCCCCACTCCTTGTCCCCTGACTGCCCCCTCCTGGGACCCCTGCCCCTAACTGCCCCCCAGGACTCCACCCCTACCTAAGCCTCCCTGTCCCTTGTCCCCTGACTGCCCCCTCCTGAGACTTTCCCCCCATCCTAACTGGCCCCCTAGGACCCTATCCCCTACCTGTCCCCTGACTGCCCCAACCCTTATCCACACCC